CTTTCGAGGCCCTACCTGTCCTTACCGTTTTATAGGCCCTGGCTCTTATAGGCCCTCGTGTGTGATATGCGAACAACCGTCAAATCGACACGCCCTGTCTGCAACCTCCTTCATCCCGACGCGAGGCCTCCTGCTGGAGAGTTCCTCTGGGCGGAAAAGTATAAAAGGCGTTGCCGCCCTCGTTTTATCCTTTTTGTTGTTTAGCAACTCTACAGATCAAGTTGCTCTATCGCTACGGCGTGCGTTCTGATATCTTGTCTTCACCCACCATCTCCTTCCGCATTAGCCGGTTCGCTCTTCGTAGCTCGATTTTCTTTCGCCACATCTGATTCGGTCTTTGTAGCTCGATTTCCGTCCGCCGTAGCTGGTTCGCTCGTCGTACATCCGTATCCGTCCGACGTTGCTCATTCACGCAACGCACCACGAAGGTGGGATGCTATTTCAGTTGTCCTAATCAGTGCCTGATGTCCGAACAAATTCCCGGATTCCCAGTTTGTACCTGCACGCCATAACGCCGCAATATCGCATATTGAACCTCAAATTAATTTCTGGTTTTGTTGTTCAGCAGCTCCGCAGGTCGAGTCGCACTATTGTCACCACGAGCGTTTTGATATTTTTTTTTCACCCTCCACCTCCGTCAGCCATAGTCGATCCGAGCTTCGTAGCTCGATTTCCTTTCGCCATAGCTGAACCTGCATGCTTTAAAGCTGCTATGATATTGTTTGTATATATATATATATATATAAATATATATATATATATATCTATATATATAAATATATATATATATATAAATATATATATATATATATATATATATATATAAATATATAAATATATATACATAGCAGCTGATACTCGTTAGTGCCCATTTTGAACCCCGAATCAAATTTTGATTTTCATTCACATGTCCCTTATGAGGTCGCCGAACTAACATATATATATACTAGCTAAGCTCCCGCGGTGCGGGCGGTACGGACCACGCCCGCAGAAATAAGATTAACTGGCTACGAAGTTCAACTTTAATTCACGAATCAAAAAAATAACAAATAGAAAAAAAAATGTAAGAGAAAGGGCGAGGAGAGACAAAGATAGATAAAGAAAGAAAGAAAAAAAAATGATAGAGATAGATAGATAGATAGACAGAGAGAGAGAGAAAGAGAGAGATAAAGAGAGAGAGAGATAAAGAGAGAGATAAAGAGAGAGAGAGAGAGAGAGAGAGAGAGAGAGAGAGAGAGAGAGAGAGAGAGAGAGAGAAGAGCAACGAAAGAGCAAGGAACAAAAAAAAACGAACACGAGTAAAAGAAGAAAAAAAGTTTGATATAAAGATTTTTCGTTTCATTTAAGGAATCAAGTGGCTGCAGTATGATCAAGGCACAATTATTGCGCTGTGGAATCAATATTGACTTAAAAAAGCAGAATAATATTACGTCAAAATTATTATTATTATTATTTTATTTTTTTTCCTCTCTCTCTCTCTCTCTCTCTCTCTCTCTCTCTCTCTCTCTCTCTCTCTCTCTCTCTCTCTCTCTCTCTCCTTCCCCCCTTATTTATTTGCCTTTCCCTTTCTATCTCTCTTGTAGGGGCAATTACGTAACTGAAATCGAAGACGACCATCTAAAAATTTGTCATTAAGGCAACGCGTGGACAACCGCCCAATCAACATCTTTGTCTTCCTATCTCTCCTATAAGACCAATCAACTTGCTTCGCTGGAACGATAGTCGTGCAAAACCTCACGAACAAAAACTTGTTGCAACACTTTGCGACGATACTCCTTGAAAGTTTCAAATCGAGCCTGTCTTTGCCGATTGTAATCGAGATGAATTGCAACATCCACACATCTTTAAGTATTCATACTCGTATTCAATTCCACAATATCTTGCATCCTGTGAGAACTATCAAGATAGGATAGGTGTGCAAGTATCTTTTTCGGACCAATAGATTCAACAGAGTCGTACATGATAATCTTAAAATTAGAAGAACTTGGTTGTTCCAATGGTCGTGTATGGACATACAGATGGTCTCTTGATGACGTGTGAGCAGACACAACACAACTGACAGGAGACGGAGTAACCGTAGCGGCCGACAAAGCAGAAACAACAACAGAAGTAGTCACAATCGTCGTTGACATATTGGAGGGTGAAGCATAATCCACAAGACGTTGAAAATTTGGAGGAGATGTTGCTTGAGGGGAGAGTTTACGAACCGGAGCGGAATGAGGAGTGGAAGAAGCAACCACGGGAGGAATCCTTTTGAGAAGCTGCTGTATCCGTGCATATTTGTGAAAGGTTTGGGGAATGGGCCTTTAGTCTGGACCAGTGCCGGACCCGTGAATGTGACCGGCCGTTCACGGTGAACGGGCCGACAACTAAAGAGTGGTGTTTTTTTTTTTTTTTTTTTTTTTTTTTTTTTTTTTTTTTTTTGCTCCCCCAGGTACATTTGCCTCAAGCCCCATAGCGTGATGACATTGAAAAAATTAAAAAAAATTGAAATGACCTA